AATCACTGGAGTTAATTTGACAGCAGAGTCAAGCTATCTGATTGTGCCTACCACATCAGCTGGTGTCACAATTCCTTCTGTTTTCTGGCCCTACCTACTCCTCATCACATGCACATATACTTCTAGTACTATTAGCACAACGATAAATAAAATATTGTACTATTGCCACTACTAAGCACCTTTCCCTCACACCAAAGAAACTTCTTACCCCTACCCACCCACCAAACAAAACTTTCAATACATGGCTGTTGCAAGAACATGATTACAAAAGTCATCACCATACCTACAATCATGTTTTCACCTGTTCATGTGGTGTACACCTGTGGGCTGTTGGCAATACACTTGATTGAAGTGTGGGAGATTCCAGGTTCACAATGAGCCCTGTCATCTTTGTTCTCTTAAGCGAATATGCCATGCAATCCCAAAACCCGTGTGAACGCTATTGCCTCTTATAATATTATCTTGTTTATAAATCTTTTATCTTTTTAAGTGCGCAAAATACTAATGCAAAACCCAAGAACATATATAGAATACTCGGAACAGCAATATATATAAAAAATAATAATTTGGAGATCTTGAAAAGTGTAACAACATGCTTTTATACTGCGACCTAATGTGCAAGCAGTAGACCACCCCACCACAGGTAAGAAATGAGAAATTTTGAGGGCTATTGAACACTGAATTTTTGCAGCTGAACAGTATAAAGTTATTTAGTAGTGTTCAATCGCCTTCAAATTCACTTCTGCCTGTGGGTTACAGTGGTCCAGTAGAAAAAGACTGTAAAACAAAAACAGTGCAATACAAGTTGGACCAAGATTTTTTCAGTATTTTTTAAAACCCTTTTAAAGTTTGCATCATTTTATGCATTTTGAAAAACATAAAATATCTAGAGATGCCATATACTATTAACTAGACAGCATATAAAGAGCATCTATATAAAAACAGGTTTTAGCCTATAAATACACTACTAATAATACCATAGGTGTATATTTAAAAACAAGATGAAAAAAATGCTGCTACAGGGACAACAGCTCCCCAGTCCAACCAGTTCAGTATGAATTTTGCTACTACTCAAATGGCATATACAATATGCTGGGTTTTTTTATTCAGTTCTTTTTAGTTGGCAAAACTAGCACCTCAACAGCTGAGTAAGATATGGGATTCATTTTATGGATATGCATACTGATTTTTACAAGGCTTTTTAAAAGGGGATCTAAGAGTTGGCATTTATTTACCAAGCGCTCAAAAATGAGCATTTGAATATTCTAGTGGGAAACACAAAATGGTTTCCATCGTAATAATTCGATCCACTTATGATAAGTGAAATGACACCCTCCTTATGCACAAAAGTTGGTCAGTTTTTCCATTTATGCTTGCATATTTCAGCTTTCACCCATTCCCTAGCATGGATGTTTCATTGATGGCTGAGGGTAACACTTCAAAAATGAACTAGCTAAACAAACTTCCCAGCAGCACTTGACAGAGCTACACCTATTCTTCCCCATTTCCAAAGCAGTACAGAATTAATTACCAGTTCTATGGATCTATTGTAAGTATAATAGACTAAAGAGCTATCACAGACACATTTATTGTAAAAGCACAATCCCAAGAGTGTCTAGTAGAGGGCCAAAACGATTAACACAAATGCTTTGTCAGATCAAAGATAAAACCTGCACCGCCCAATTGAGGAATGAATTAGAACAGTGGGTTATCTTTCAAATTAACCAGGGCAGTTAGTGAGGAAAATTTCATGAAAGTGTAATTCTTAGCCTTTGTGAATCCACACAGCAGGCATTCTGCCAGCTGACAAGATGATGAAATTTTCATGCTTAAAAAAGCCCTCTTCATTTCCCAATTTAGATTAGCTAGCGTTTCTCTCTCTTTTCATCTATTTGCTCTTCTGAAGCAGAATTAAAAAAAAAAAAAGCACACAACAGGATCAATCTCTCATAGAATAATGCATTTCTGAACAGAAATAAAATATTTGCATGTCATTTTTTAGATATATTTACAGTTAGGAGTAAGACTATCAAAATTGATATTGTTAATACCATTAAGAAATCCATAAATACTGGAGCAATGGTAGATATGTTTTGAAAGACAGATATAAACCATTTCAATGTTTAATGGCAAAAAATGATTGCAGAAACAGAAAATTTTATATAAAGGTGAGTAATTTACAAAAACAATGGGACTGTAGGAGGCTTACCAAATTCTATTTACATACTTACATTTGCATCTCTTTAAAGGAAAGAAGTATATCACCATTGTATTTATTTATCAGTCTCATGTGCCAAAAAGGGCAAGTAGATTTTCTACCTTTAGATTTTATGGCACTCCCTCCCACCCCTAAATTTACACAGCCACATATAAAAGCATTTCAATAGACTAAAGGAACAACATGCAATGATCTTAAACACTTTAAAAAAATCTGATTCAAAGCTCACTGAAACAAAGTAAGCTTATTCATTTCAGTGAGCTGTGGATCAGGCTGAAAGGCTCTTCATAGGGCTGTCTTCATAAAAGGTAGCTCATTATTTTAAAGGTTAAAAAAATTCAATTTCACATTTTATGTTTAGGTATTATGTGCCATTTGACCAACATATAAACAACAGTAATATCTTAAAAAAAAAAAAAAATGAAGTGACAAAGTTAGACAATATATTTGTCTATTTTAAATTGATATTTCTGCGCCTTTCAGATGGAACCAGTACAATAGCAGACTGTTAAATAAGTGTCTCGAAGTTTCATCAAATGTTTTGTTCAGACAGTTCTTTGCCATACTACTTCTGGGTGTGTCTTTATAGCTTATAGGATTATATATATCAGTGCAAACAGCCATTTGATTAATTTCAACTCCAGCTGTTATACAGTCACTACAAGTACTTGATGAAAGGAATAAACTAAAACTCACAGCATCTGATTTTCTAAGAACTAACAGGACAAAAAGTTTACTTGCCCAACTCCATGGAAAGCCCTTTTTTAAAATGAAAATTATTGTGCAATTTGGAAATTACTTTTTACAATAAAATAATCTTGCATTTCCAGAGTCTGAAAGTATTCCACAGTCAAAAAGCAGTTTTAAACCTTACTATTATTATAGCTAACTAGGTAAAAGTAAATTCTCAGTACTAAAAATATAATCTAATTTATAAAGCTTTTACTTACAAGGACAAATAAATTCCTTTTGAAGGACACTTCATTATTCTATATACCATGTAGTAAGATACTTAATAGATTTTAATACAATGTAAGCAAATTGTAATGTTCAACATTCAAACATTTCACAGTTTGGTTCACAGCTTGGTCTTAAAAAAAAAAAAGTGGAGAACAGAGTAAAATATTACACCACTTTTTGCTCTTAAGAGTAATTTTTCCTGCCCTTAAATGTATCTTCCTGCATTCATCACGTTTACTACTGCACATCTTATGCATGTTTTCTAGCATTGTATATGCCAGAAATTACTTAGCATGTGGCATTGTGTATTATCATAATGTACACATATTAAATCTAAAAAAGTTAATCAGAAGGAACTTTTATACAAAAGCAGTGTGTGTAAACATATTACTCTGACATATTATTTAATAACACATTGCATAATTTAATATAATATGTATAGTAATATCAATTGAATGATAATTTTGCAGCCATCTGGACTTTGCAATAAAGTAACATGAGATCTCACATTTTGGTAACTTCACCTGTCCAAGTCATCTACCTTTAACTTCAACGGCAAGGAACAATCTATCCCTACCTTGTGAAATACTGCCTGAATCTAAATGCTCTAAGAAAGTTTTGTGCTCCTTTTGATGCAAAGACCTTCAAAAGTATTTATACATTCAGAAGGTATTACATTTCTGGAAAAGAGCTTAGAAAACACTTACTTACAGTTGCAATAAGAACTAACATAGAAGAAAGATAACACAAAATGCACACTTAGTATTAAACTATAATGACAATTCTTAGCAGTGTAGATGCTGTCTGCTAAAGTATTTTGTACTACTAAAACACAACACGAATTAGGTAAGCCGTTCATTTACAGGCCAAATTTTCAAAAACAATTTACGTTTTTGAGTGTATCAAAGGTTATGAGCACCCAAAGGTTATGAGTGCCTGCAAAACTGAAGCTGTGCAAACAGGCAACGTTGGACAACCAAAAAAAGCAGGCAGGCAATAGGATGAGATGATCTATGAAAATGTGTCCAAAATGGCTAGCTGCCAATTTACAAAATATGATGCTTCCAGCATATTACAGATGCAAAACATATTGATATAATTTAAAAATCACGGTGGTTTTTTCCTAACCAGTCACCACTTTGGACAGTGTGAAGATGTGAATTTCAAATATTATGTGTTTTTTTTCCACAATGCCATACAAAGCCAACCACTGCCACTTTTGATTTCTTGCACTGCCCCCCAAAAAAGAGAATTATATCAAATTAATTAACTACCCATCTTTCTCCTCTTTTTTCCCCTCCCAAACATTATGAAGAAACATTCATAGTATTTCCCTTCCTATTGTCCTTAAAAGAATTTTTACAGAGCTACACTTAGTTTTCCTTTTCACAATGTAACACAATATACATCAATTTGGGTTGGAGAAAAAGAATCACATTTCAATTACATGAGAAATTGGTATCTGCATATTTGATAGGCTTCATAGATTCTCTCAAAAGCATTAAGATAATCAACTCTCTGCTTTTTTTCATCCAAAAATCTGGAAGACAGAGCTACTACATCTGTAATAATGCTGACACACACAGTTACAAAAATTTAAATACATCTGACTATCGTGACTTGAGACTGAACTGAGAAAATGAACATTCTAAATAAGTATTTGAAATCATTAATTGATTATTTTATTTTCATAAAGTTGGGTTTTCACGTTGCATGCTATTACCTTGGACTGTAAAAAAAAAAAGTAACATGACAGTCACTAAAAACTGAGCACCACTTAGAAAACTCATTTCATATGGCAGAATGTTTTCTGAATACTTACATTATAGTATTTTCTGAGGTAGCGTCTAATATCCAACAGTAATTTGTTGTTCATTTGAACCACATAGTTGAAAGGAGACTCATCACATTCAGTCTTACTGCACCTTTGCAAGCTGGGTTCAATAAACCGCCCCTGAAAACAGAAGTGTAAAAACAGCATTGTCATTACAACAGATGATGGTACCAGAAGTTGCCACAGGAGTTTAGACATAATACATATTTTTAAAAAATAATAGTCTTAAAGGGCCTCTAATATCTAGGCCTTCTTTCTTCCCATCAGTTGGCCACACCCATATAAAGACTTCTCTGACATACAGTTTTCCCATTCTCTTCTTAATGAAAGGTCTTTTGGAGAACATGCTTCTTCACCTGCCACAAAGTTAATCACTCAAAAAATGATGTTGACTAAGAAAAAATTAATCTATGGACAAACCACACTCCCTGCAAACAACACAGGTTTGTTGTTTTGTCAGGGACATCGAAGTTCTGCCCAAGCTGACTGATCAGAACATTGAAATCAACATTATAGATACCAATTATGAAATTACCAACAGGGCTGTAGAGACAAACCTTGTTAAACAAGCACAACATGATCACCTTTTATTTTCTCCAAGTGCAAAGAATAGCTTTTACAGTTTTACACCATCTCATTCCCCTTACTTTCAAAACCTTCTGAACACCTGACATGAAAATTTCAGAACCTGGAAGTGATGTGTGAACAGCTGAAACTGAGTTGGTAGAACGCTCATTAAAATAAGAACAACCTGGTAGGTTGGACAGTTACACAACTTTTAGAAAACTTTCTTTCAAGTAAAACTTAGCTGTCAGGAGCCACCTTGGCTAAACCCACAACACTAAATAATTCCAGGTGGAAGAGAGGGTTTTTTGGTTTTTGGTTTTTTTTTGTTTTGGTTTTTTTTTTGTTTGTTTTTTTTTTTTGTTTGGGGGTTTCTTTTGTTGATTGGTGGTTTGGGTTTTTTGGGGTGGGTGGGTTGGTTTTTTTTGGGTTTTTTTTGTTTTTTTTGTTTTTTTTAAAGGAGTTTGACATCCACTCCTCTCCAGTTAGCTAGCCCATCTGCAAATTGTCAAGCCTACATGCAATTAACTATCTTATTTACAGCTGTAATGAACAAAAGTCAAGGATTCACAAAGTATCACTCGATTTGTGTCTTTTCCTCTTACTTGCTTCCAAAGACTGCTTTATTTTGATTCAAAAAAATGCAAAACATCTGCTGTTTGTCCAAATTAACTTAAAATAATTATTTTTAATTTAGATAAAAGATTTATTTGCTTTCAGTTTCAAGGTTTTCACTACTCTGAAGCTCGCTAATTTGCCAATGACTAATACATACATAACATCGCTGTAGAGTTAAATATTTGGCCCTATTTCAAGTTGTGATCCAAGGTCAGAGATACATTTTTTGGCAGAACTTCTCAACAAGAATGTACCCTTATGACTTTTTGTGTTCAATACACAAAGACAGAAGGAAAGATAACACAGAAAAACCTTACTGGCAAGAAGGGAGGTGGGATGCAGCAAGATAAACAGAAGTTTCAAAAACACTTTGTTCCAATTAATATGATTTAGGATAAGAGATTGCCATTGCTATATGAAAGTTTCATTAAATAGAGAACTGGAAGTTACTAAGGTGTTAAGATAAGGATTCCTTAAAAAGTTACAGCAACAATCATTCACGACTGTGGGCAAACAAATTAATGAAGCCAGATAATCTCACATGTGCTGCTAGACACAGCTGAAAGGCAAAAGTGGGAAAAATATTTCAGCACTCCGATCAGCAAATTTCTGTTCCAAAGCTATAAACAGCAGGACTCAAAACAATATGGTATCTTCTCCTACATGGGAATCCTGTCTGAAAAGCTGTTCTCTCTACAAGTATTTTTCTCCCTCATCGATGAACAGAAATGAAACAGAAAAAAAACTAACCGAACCATCAAAGACATTGTCATAAATATTTTCTGTTCCGCATTTGAGGCAGCAAAACTTGAATCTTTCACAATCCTTATATTTCTCCTCATCAGTGAGCTGAGCTGGGCCACCAACCAAGGCATCATTCTCCTCATCTTTATGGTAATGGCGATGGATTCTGAATTGGGAGGGATCCAGTCCTATTAAAAAGAAACAAAAATTTCAAGAGACTAAGAGGTCAACCATGCAAGTAGGCTCATTTTTCATATGCTTGGTGAAGCAGATTCAAAAGAAAGTTACAAAATGTAAATTCAGAAGTTGAAAATCTCTCCTTAGCAAAACTTCCTCTATAAAACATAAATACATTTTACAATTTTTAACCACGAATAAAGGTTCACCAAACATGAAGAAATCTTCTTACTTATCTTCTTACGCAAGACTGCTTTATAAATAAAACAAGCACACTGCATTATCATGGGAGCATGCAACAGAACATTTTGTTTCTGAGGAAACCACTCCTAACGGATGGCTTTATTGTTATTTTCTTCTTAAGTTACATTGAAAATATTTCAATAAAAATGTGCATCGTTATTAAGAAACAGTCTTTAAATCAAAATGGCACCATTAAAACTGAAAACAGAGAATAAAAACCCCATTAAAGAAACGCGGGTGCACTGCTATTACCAACTCCTTCAAGTCCGTATACAACTGCCAACTCTGATTTCAATGCAGTGGTCGATTTCATTTTGGCTCAGTGGTTAACAGCATGTAGGTTTCAATCTAATGCAGTGGTTAAAATTCAGCAGCAGCATTTAAAACGGCAGCGCTGGAGACAAAATGCTTTATTTCTGATTGCCAGAACTCAAGATTTTAAACAAATAAATACACAAAAGAGACCCTAAAAATACTGATTCAACCACAAATAAGTAAATAAGCAAGCAAGCACGAAGTTCACTGCCCTAGGAACAAGACTGCCAAAGTAAACTTAATAAAAATCCACGGGTTTTGTCATCCTTTGTCATGTGCAACCTTTTAAAAGTCCATGTATCCCATTTACAGGTTCTTTTGTTAACTCTAGCAAATAGCACATGCTTGGGGAAAAAAAAAATTAATCGAATGAGCAAGTAGAAGAAAACGTTCAGAAAACTATGGCTTACTTTATTCTTAAGAAGAAAAGATCAAAGAGAAGCACTTTAAAAATATTTTTAACAGAGACTAATTAAGCCAAGTAACAGATTACCATGTATTAACCCATATCTTGTGTAAATTTCAGCAACAACTGTAATAATTACTATAGAAAGAGCAAGAAAGATTACAAATAGAAAGTGAAGCTAGATTTTACAGTTGTTCTTAACCTTACTATACAGTACTGGGAGATGTAAAGACAATGCTTGGGAACAATATTCAGTTCAACTAGACAAATATTACTGCACATACAAAACAGCTGTCTTATGCAGCTATAGATTGTCTTTACATAAAAGATTTGGTATGTGTGACTTTACTATCGCTATTCTGAATTTCTATTTTGCAATCATAAAACAAATTCAAGGAGAAGGAAAAATTCCATTGCCAAGTAAGTTTATTTGGTTCTTGATACAATAGGGGTTCCACTAAAATTTAATCAATCTTCCCAATTTTAATTTTATCAAAAGAAACAAATCTCAATGCATAAAGGTAACAATTCACCTCCAAGAGGTTCTTAAACTTTTAATACAGTTCTCTACTATTCATTAAAAGGAAGAGCAAACAAAGCAAAAAACATTGCTAATAGCTTGTTTTACACTCTAATACATATGGTACTCCCCCCAAAAGACTGCGGGGTTTGGGGTTTTTTTTTTCTTTCCTTTTTTTTTTTTTTTTAAAGGGTTGGTAATATATTTGTTGTTTTAGAAAACAAAGAGTATGTTTTACAACACACAGGTAGTAGATAAAAGGTTTAGAAAGTGGATTTGAGTTTAGTATTAAGATTTTGCAAAAAAAATCAACTAAGTATGCAGTGGGTTGGATCTAAGATAGTAATGGCGAATACAAACAAAAGTTCTCAATTTACTTTGAGTTCAGAAGTGGAATGAAAACACATCATTGCAACTTTCTGATACAGATGCCATCAAAAGTTCAGCTAGGAATCTATCTTTGGTTGTTTCCCAAAAGGCAAATATAAAGCAAAGTAGTTCACTAAATAAAAGGTAAAAGGAAATAAATTCTGGTCTTCAGACAACTGCAGTTTTCCAATATTCAGTCAAAACCAGTGACAGCAAATAAGCATCTGGACATTTGGTAATAATTTAACAGGGAAAGAAAAAAAAGTTATTCGCTGGAAGAATTTAAATCACACCTATCTCTGAACTTTCTTAGCTATTTTGCCTGGAGAAAACAACAGGAAAAATATTGCAATGATTCAAGTGTACATCTAACTTTTGGTGTGCAAACAACCTCAGGGAAATCAAAGGGACTACAAATCAGGCTTTTAAAGAACGTGCCTACCTTAATTATCTTGTGGAACTGGGACCTATTTTATCTATTATCTCCTTTCAGGAACAGTTAGTTGGTTCAATTAATCCATTTCAGCGCACTAACTGGTATCCTCTCGGACCAGGTCACACCGGTCATACTACTCTACTTGGTAAACAAAACAGGGACTATTTGACTGGGGGGGGGGGGGGGGGGATATTGGGTTTTGGTAATTTTTAAATGAATAGGATGAGACTAAGCAGTGCACTTCTCTGAACTCTTTTTTTTTTTTTTTTCCCCATGACATCAAGAAAAATCAAAGGGACTTCGACTTACTCTGACATGA